AGTCGCTTTGTGATATCACAAAGCCCGGAAAACAAACGCTGTAGTCCAAACGAGCCGTTCGTTGTAGTTCTTGAAAAGGGATTTTTAAAAAATGAAATATCTACCTTTGGAGTGGACTTTGAGATTTGTAACTTTGAAGATCTTTTTTATGCCCAAACATACACACTACACACTGACTTAAATTTAAAAAGTGAAAAAGCATCATAGGACCCCTTTAATAAACTGTGTGCTGCTATACTTTCATTGTTTCAAGACTTACCATTATACCATGCTCAAAAACAAAAAACAGATTCTAAAATGTGAAGCATGCAGTTGTTATTTAAGTAATTGTTTATTGTAAAGTAATTCCTAATGTAATCAGGTTTATTCAGTCAGATTAAATACTTTTGACTTAAAACAAACTAGTTCATTTAGATGTTAGCACATCAAGCAGACTTTTAGATTACCTGACAAAACATGTTCACAGGGTATTTTTTTGTTTTGTTTTGTTTTAGTTTTGAATGGGTTTGATTGTAAGTGTACATTACAAATGAATTAGCAATGAATTACAGGATGTTTGGTTAATAGATTGGGGTTGAATAACTGCAGAATTGGGTGCAAATTTGAAATCTGAAAACTGAAAGAAAGATTCATACCTGTATCTCTTTCTCATGCTGGACAACCGATTCAGTGAGATATGATCCAGTGGAGCACTGCCACACCTAAAAAACATTTGAAAACCGTTACATTCTCACCATAAATGAATAAGACTACAAATACCATGTACATTTTTGTTAAACATTAAAGTTTGGAAACCTCAAATTAATTACATTAGGTTATTTATGATAATAAAATGATTACAATTATTAAAAGAGCAAAGAAGATTCAGATTAAATGTATTTCAAGGGCTGCATTATCTGTAAAATGATGTAGCAAAAAACAACAACAAAAAAGGAAATACTGACAAATAATTTTTTTTGTTAAACATTTAACTTTGGAAACCTTGACTTTTATGGCACAAATCATCACTTAAGTTAATAAAAAAAAAGATTGCATTATTACAAAAACAATGCAAAAAATTTTAAAAGAACAAAGATTCAATTAAAATAATTTGTACTCAGAGGCCGTGTCAACTAAAAATAAATTCATTTATTTATTTATTTTTAAAGAAAATACTGACCATTCAAAAAAAACATTTAACTTTAGACCTCAACAACTTAATTATTTTAAGTTATAGCATACAGTAAATGATCACTTATTTTAATAAAAAAGATTGTATCTTTTTTATGTTGATAATAATAAAAAAACAATCATTTATAACATTTTTGTGGCACAATCAGCAAAGATGATTCGGATTAAATAATATGCACTCAGAGGCTGCATAGCTAGAAAATACTAGAAACTAAACAAACAAACAAACAAATAAATAATTGACAATTCAAAATTTTGTCAGTCATTTTGACAGACAAATACAAGAATACTATTAAAAAACAATTCACATTTTTTGTTAAACTTTAAACCTCAACAACTTAATTATTTTAAGTTATGGCACAAATTATCACAGATTTGATCTGTGATCAAATCATTTATAAATCATTTATTAAAATCATTTATAAAATTTTTGTGGCACAATCAGCAAAGTAGATTTGGATTGAATAATATGTACTCAGAGGTTGCATAGCTAGAAAATAGTTTAACAATAACTAACTAAAGAAACAATCACAAATAAATAAATAAATAATTGACAATTCAAAATGTTGTCAGTCATTTTGACAGACAAATACAAGAATACTATTTTTTTTTTAACTCAAAACAAAAAGTGATTTTTACAACTAATAATAAAATAAAGAATAATTATTCATAGCACAAGCACTGATGATATCTAATATTCTAGTTACCATGTTATGACTATATATAGCTGTTATCATTTGAATCCAGCTAGTAAAGACAGTAAAGACTATACGAGTGACCTGAAAACTCTGACCCTGTTGAGGGGTAAAATAGTTCACATCTGTTCCAACTTGAGCTGTTTATCTCCCAAAATCACTTCCATTCAACCTGGCAAGACAGTCTGTCGTCCCTCGGGTCTTTGTCAAATAGGTTGTCCAGTGTTCATGAATGCAAGGTATGCAAATAAACAGCATGTACTTTTTTGGATCGCAACAAGCAAGTAAGCATCCTTCAGAGTTGAGTCATGATGTCTAATAGCGTTAATGCATTGTGTAAGAACTTTTAAGAATGACGCTCATGCTTTTTAGGGGTTCTGTTTATCTCAAGCGTTTTAACACACACTCAACAGATGCGCTTATCCGCTAGCATGCGGTTTCAATCTGTCAAAGAGCCACAAATAGAAAACATTAAACATGAACACAGTCACTAACTCTCATATTTAAGTGCTGAAGGAAGAACAAAAACATATGCGGCTTAATCATGCATTATGTTGGAATTTGCTCGCCATGGTTTATGACTTAAACTGGCACGGACATTCGAATCAAATTCGGGAAGTGCGTGTTTTCATCTGGTGTTAAATATAGACCAAACAACATTATGAATGAAAACACCTTTTAAACATACTGTGGGGAAGGACAGGAATGTTCAGCAAGGCAAGGCAAGTTTATTTATATAGCACATTTCATACACAATGGTAATTCAAAGTGCTTTACATAAAAGAAATGAAAAAAAAAATAAAAATAATCACAACAATAAAACAAGGAATTTAAAACTTTGAGCAACAACAATCATCACGTTTCTGTTCGCCTCATTGCTAAAAAATCCAATTATTAGTATTGCATTTTGTTGTCTTGAAAGTTCATGCAGGCTTTAAAAATCAAACAGTAAAATTATATTGTTATGGTCAGAATAAAAGACTAAATATTTCATAAAAGGATCATAATGAAGACAGAAAGATGCAGAGACTCAGATTGACAGGGATTTCTACACTTTTGTGCAATTAGTTAATAAACATATAGGTGTGAATTTATTTATAAGTAGTGATAATGTCAGTCAGCTCACCTAAATACAAACTAGGGCTGCACGATAAATCGAATGCGATATTTAACGCGCATCTTATCAGTAAAGCCGGTTCTGTAATCAGCGGTACTGGTCAAAATATGATCGTCGGTTTGCGCAGCTTGTCGGTGAACAACGGCTCTGTGTAGTTAATGCTGCTCCATGTGAAAGCACGCAGGTGATGTAGATTTACCGCTGATTAAAGAACCGGCTTTACTGACAAGATGCGCGTTAAATATCGCATGCGATTTATCGTGCAGCCCTAATACGAACCTTTTTAAACATCATACAGTGCAATACATTTTTTGAGAGTGACATAAGATCTCAAAAAAGGATCGTTCAAGGTCCCCTGAAGTGCCTTGAAACACGCAGCGTTATTCTATGTGGTGACGTAATTTCAACTGAAACAGGAAGACAGGGCGGGACATATCGAGCAGCCCCGCCCCCTTTTTAAATTAGCCAATAGCGTTTTGTTTATATCTGCACAGGTCAGAGCCGTTGAGCTCGGTAAAGCCGCATTTGACAGCCACAGTCTAATAGATTACCCCCTAGATTCAATATGAAACTCTTAGTAAAACAAAATAGTGATCATAATCATGCTGAGGCTGTGTAGTTTTAAAAGCGTTTAATATATGCCGACTTGTGCATATGATCCGCTCCGAGTGATCACGTCTCTGGACCGGAGCCACAGTCCGGATCAGACTGTGCGCGCTGCCGTTCGCGTGGCACAACGTGAAACCAGACCTCATTTGCCCCAGTCGAAAGCATATTTACACTATCTGAATTGTTCCCTATCGCCTACATTGTACACTACGTGCCATTTACTAGACTAACATATTGATACTGACACCCAAAAAACTTTCATTTTGATTTCATGGGGACTTTAATCACCACACCACACCGGTGATCATGAGATCGGTGAGCTCACGGAGAGCATGGACTGTACCTCATTCTGCAGATGAAGGAACGTCTGGAGCCCATACACATTCTCATAGAGGACTGCTGTCCTTCCTTCTTCACCGTCCCAGTCTTCAGGTCCAGAATACGCCCTGGACACACACACACACACACAGACAAGAGGAAAGAGATTAACTTAGGAATTGGCATTTTAAATTCATTTGTGGTAGAGCAC